AGCCACTGCACTCCAGTCTGGGCGACTGAGTGAGACTCCGACTCAAAAAAAAAAAATTATTTGGGTATGATGGTGCATGCCTGTGGTTCCAGCTACTTGGAAGGCCGAGGTGGAAGGATCGCCTGAACCCACCAGATCAAGGCTGCAATAGCCGTGTGCACTCCAGCCTCGGCGACAGAGTAGGACTCCAACTCAAAAAAGAAGAAGAAAAGGAGGAGGAGGAAGAGGAAGAGGAAGAAGAAGCAGCAGCATACATTAAGTTTCCAAGATGCTTGCATATGACCACCAGTGTCAGCATCCATGGTGTACCCATATCTGCATGCTCACTTTGTTTAGGGATTTTGTTCTCCCTACTTCTGCTGCTGTGAAACCTGGTATTCATATTCCTTCATTTCCCCAGAAGATGTTCTTTACAAAGAGGTATGCCTATAGGGGCATAGGCTCTCACAAAAAATTGAACAGCAAGCACCTAAATATATAAACAGAGACCATAACAATATGCAGGCCAGTAGGTAAGGGCTTAAAATCATTTGTTAAGTTTTAATGTATTTTTTTCATTTTACATTTTTTTTTTTTACTTGGAGTCTCACTCCGTTGCCCAGGCTGGAGTACAGTGGCACATATGCTCATGGCCACCCCAGTGTCCACCTGCTGGGCTCAGGTGATCCTTCTACTTCAACCTTCCAAGTAGCTGGAACTACAGGCACACGCCACCATGCCCAGTTAATTTTTTTTTTTTTTTTTTAGTCAGACTCTCACTCTACGATCCAGGCTGGAGTGCAGTGGCACACTCACAACCACCCCAGTGTCGACTTGCTGGGCTCAGGCCATCCTTCTGCCTCAGCCTTCCAAGTAGCCAGAACTACAGGCGCATACTACCACACCCAGCTAGTTTTTTTTGGATATATTGTAGAAATGAGATCTCACCAAGTTGCCCAGGCTGTTCTCGAACCTGTGGGCTCAGGCAATCCCCTTACCTTGGCCTCCCAAAGTGCTGGGATTACAGGCTTGAGCCACCGTGCCCAGTTGTATTTTACATTCTTAAACATGGATTTAATTAAAGATACTTTTCATTAATAATAATATTATTTGTTTGACTTACCTTGAAATCATTGATTGAGAACATAAATTCTGGGAACCGTGGTATTTGGAAGAAGTAGTAATAGCTGGATTTGAAGAGCTGGGCAGGGTGTCGTAAAATATATTCTGCAATTAAAATGCCATGTTAAACCTTATCCAAGGGGTGTAAATTACTTACCATTGGAAGAACTTATTTTTAGGGCAATTTTACCTTAAGATAATCCCATAAAATAATCCACAAGTAAGGTTTCTTTGGACCAATTTCTATGTTTTTATATTTTATTGTGGATGTTTCTGGTATTTTAAAAATTTACAGCACTTTATTTATTTGAGTCAGGATCTTACTCTGTCACCCAGGTTGCAGCGCAGTGGCACAAGCAAGGCTCATCACAGCCTCGACTTTGTGAGTTCAGGCAATCCTTCCACCTCAGCCTCCCGAACAGCTGGGATTATAGACACATGCCACTATGCCCGGCTAATTTTTTTGATTTTTTTGTAGAGACGAGGTTTCACTATATTGCCCAGGCTGGTCTCAAACTCCTGGACTCAAGCAATCTACCTGCCTTGGCCTCCAAAAGTGCTGAGATTACAGGCATGAGCCACCATGCCTGATACAGCACTTTAAATAAAAATAAAGTTTTACTTTATAAAGTCTTAACTTAAAGGGAACAATAAGCCCAAACAACATTGCTTTTCCTCCAAAGTCATTATCAGACTTTTTGTAATTATATCACTTTTCTTAGGAATACCTCGTCATGTAATTTTCTGTTGTTTAAAAGTCTCCTTACAGACTGATTCAAGTTGAACACCTGATTCATTTGCCCTGAAAAGGAACTGAAATGTGTTCTGTACATTCATTAATGTGTCTAGAAAACTCATTCATTCCATGAATGTTTGCCTATTGATATGTGCCAGGGGATTCAGCGGTGAACAAGATAGGAAAGTTTCCCACAGTGAACTTACACAACTAATAAGTAACACATACTTAAAAGAGCAATCATACCATAAAGAAAATAAAAGAAGGTGATCTGGGTGAAAGTGATGGTGGGTGGGGGCCTATTATTTAGCAGAGATAGTCATGAAGGCCTCTCTGGAGCTGTGACATGTGTGCTGAATCCTAAATGGTAAGAAGGAGTCAGCCATGCAAAGATCTAGGAAGAGCATCCGGAAACAGCAAGCAGGTCCTGGGCTTGGCACATTCAAGAAGCAGAAAGAAGTGAATGCAGTGGCTCACACTTGTAAATCCCAGTACTTTGCGAAGTCAAGGTGAAAGAATTGCCTGAGTGCAAGTGTTCAACACCAGCCTGGGCAACTTGGCGAGACCTCATCTCTATGATAAATCAAAAAATTAGCCAGGTGTGGTGGTGCCCGCCTGTGGTTCCAGCTACATGGAAGGCTGAGGCAGAAGGATCGCCTGAGCCCAGCAGGTTGAGATTGTGATAGCCATGAGTGTGCCACTGCACTCCAACCTGGGCAACAGAGTGAGATTCCTTGGCATCTTCCTAACTAGAGACGTAAAAGACTTTTACAATGAAAACTACAAAACACTGCTTAAAGAAATCAAAGATGACACAAACAAGTGGAAAAATATTCCATGCTCATGGATTGGAAGCATCAACATTGTTAAGGTGTCCATTCTACCTAAGGCAATCTACAGATTTAATGCAATGCCCATCAAATTACCAGAAACATTCTTTTCAGACCTAGAAAAAACAATACAGGAATTCACATGGAAACATAAATGACCAAGAATAGCCAAAACAATCCTCAGCGTAAAAAACAAGGCAGGAGGTATCACACTCCCAGACTTTAAACTATATTATAAAGCTACAATAATCAAAACAGCCTATGTACGAGAACAGGCATATAGACCAATGGAATAGAATTGAGATTCCAGAAGCAAAACCTCAATTTCTCAACCAACTCATCTTTGACAAAGCCTCCACCACCAACTACTGGGGAGAAGAGAACCTATTCAGTAAATGGTGCTGGGAAAACTGGCTGAGCACATGCAGAAGATTGAAACAGGACCCCTACCTAGCCCCATACACAAAAATTAACTCTAAATGGATCACAGACCTAAATGTAAAACCTCAAACTGTAAGAACCTTAGAAAATGCAGGACACACCCTTATGGAAGTTGGATCTGGCAACCGATTCCTGATCCAAACCCAGGCCATAAGAGATAAGACAGACAAGTGGGACCTCATTAAACTGGCAAACTTCTGCAAAGCCAAAGAAACCATCAAAAGAGCAGGAAGACAGCCGACAGACTGGGAAAAAATATTTGTCAACTCCAAGTCTGACAAAGGCCTAACATCAAAGATCTACAAGGACCTCAAACGTGCTGAAAATAAAAAAAACCAGACAGCCCCGTTACAAAGTGGGCTAAAGATATGAATAGACATTTCTCAAAAGAAGACACACGAGCAGCCAATAGATACATGAAAAAATGTTCAGCCTCACTAGTCATCAAGGAGATGTAAATTAAAACCACACTGAGATACCACCTAACTCCAGTCAGAATGACTATCATCAATAACTCAAAAAATAACAGATGCTGGAGAGGATATGGTGGAAAGGGAACACTTCTACACTGTTGGTGGGAGTGTAAACTAGTACAGCCTCTGTGGAAATCAGTGTAGCGATTCCTAAAAGCTCTAAAAATCGACCTTCCATATGACCGCGCAATCCGCCTACTGGGAATATACCCGGAAGAACTCAGGTCACTCTATAAAAAAGATACCTGAATACATATGTTTATTGCAGCATTGGTCACAGTAGCAAGAACATGGAACCAACTGTGCTGCCCATCAAAAGAGGACTGGATAAAAAATATGTGGTACATATACACAATGGAATACTATGCAGCCATAAAGAAGAACAAAATCATGAACTTCGCAGCAATCTGGATGAAATTAGAGCTTATAATACTGAGTGATCTCTTACAGAAAAAAAGAGCTGAGTATCGCATGCTCTCACTCATAAGTGGACCTTGAACAACTACCGTATGACTAAAAGAAAAGGACTGAAGTAATGGAAAACTGTGGAAGGGGGTAGGGAGGTGGGATTGACAGTAGTCGATATCTGCCTGGGGAAGGGGGGGCACACCTCATCAATAAGGATACCTGCACAATGAATATTTGTATACCTAACCCTGAATTGTACCCCACAATTTTAAAATGAAAATTAAAAGAGGAAAAAAATTTTCCTTACGATACAGGTTATTTTTTTCCCCTTATTTCGCATGTCACAACTATATTCAACAGGGTTGGAGTGTTTAGAAATATAACTTTCAGACTGGGTGCAGTGGTTCACGCCTGTAATCCTAGCACTTTAGGAGGCCAAGGCAAGAGGACTGCCTGAGCCCAGGGGTTCAAGACCAGCCTGGGCAACTTGGCAAGACCTCATCTCTACAATAAATAAATAAAAAATTAGCGAGGTCTGGTGGTGCGCACCTATGGTTCCAGCTACTTGGAAGCCTGAAGCAGAAGAATCGCCTGAACTCAGCAGGTCGCGGCTGTGATAGCTGTGATTGTGCCACTGCACTCCAGCCTGGGAGACAGAGGGAGACTCCGACTCAAACAAAAAAAAAAAAAAAAGGAAAGGAAATCCACAGTTATCTGAAAAAACTATTAAAATATTCCTCCCTTTCCAATCACAAATCTGTGTGAGGCCAGATCAGATTTCTTCATACACTTTCTTCATATACTTCAGTTCAAACAACATATTGCAGCAGATTGAAGAGATTTGCAAAAAATGTAAAACAATGACACTCTTTTCCCTAAAGTTTTGTTTTGGAAGATGTAGTTAGTTTTCATTAAAATATGTTAACAGGTAATGGTTTTTAAAGATGAATTCATATGTAAATATTTTTAAAAATTTGTTTTAATTTTCAGTACAGTGAATATGTAAAGACATAACCCATATAAACAAAAGCTCAATGAGGTCTTTAATAGTTTTAAGATGTTGAAGTCCTAAGACCAAAACAGAAACTGCTGCTTTAAAGGATACTGCCATTCCTCATAGCCAAAGCAGTCAGGCAAGAGGAGAATTTATTTCTAGGCTGTCAGGATTCATTACTGCCAAAGCAATGTCATTGCATCTTCCCTTTTGTTCCTCCCCAAGTTAACAGTAAAATATTTTTGTAAAGGAATAAAATTACACAAGCACATATGAAGCTGCATCATTCCTCAGGAAGACCGACAACCAAGGCATCTGACATTGTCATGTGCTTTCATGGTTTAGTCATCTAATTTTTAAAAGATTACGTTAACCAAAATTTGCTGTCTTTAATCCAAAATGTCAGTAACAATAACCAATTGTTGTGTTAGTTGAGATGCTTTCATGAATACTTGAACTCACCTGTAAATACATTTGGATGAGGAAAGTTAAGAACAATAAGCTTCATCACCATTTCAGGGTAACAGATGGCAATTAGCCAAGCAATCATACCCCCCCAGTCATGGCCAATAAGAACGCATTTGCTATAACCTGCAAACAAGAAATAAGTGTGGATATTATTGAAAAGAAACAGGTGGGTGCATTGTTACCTCACATAAAATAATTGCGCGTCTGAAACTACTTCTTTGATTAGCCTAGCCTAACTACGCACTTTGTATGAGATCTTGGGTTCTGAGTTACCAAAACTTGTTTATACATCTGAATCCCCTAGATAGCTCCACTCTAGACCTAAAGATTGAGAAACTTTCCCAGAAATGTTTAAATGGTATCTATCTATCTACCTACCTACCTACCTACCTATCTTCAGAAATAGCTAGATCAGATTTGGTTCTATGGGCATAATCAGGTAATAGCAAGATTATTTAGATTTTTTTTAAAGTCAGGGTCTCACTCTGTCGTCCAGGCTGGAGTGCAGTGGCACAATCATGATTCACCGCAGCTTCGACCTCCTGGACTCAGGTGATCCTTCCATCTCAGCCTCCCAAGTAGCTGGACTATAGCCTCGCATCACCCTGCCTGGCTAATTTTATTTATTTGTAGAGATGAAGTCTTGCTATGTTGTCCAGGCTGGTCTCAAACTCCTGGGTTCAAGCAATCCTCCCACCTTGGCCTCCCAAAGTGCTGGGATTACAGGTAGGAGCCTCTGCACTGGGCTTCCTGTATCCCTTATAAACCTACAGCACCTTCCCTTCCCTGGATTTGTCAAGTACAGAGGAGTGAGCTGTGGTTAGAATTGTTAGTTGACCTATAAGACACTGAAACTAAGATTTTGGCCTTGTTGATGTCTAGGTGGCCAAATATAGATATGAATTTGTTTGTAGTCTTGTTTGCAGAAATAAGTGCCTTGTCCAGTGGTTTCAGTGGTGACCAGAGTGATGGTGCTAACACCAGCAAGGATAATAAGGGCCAGCATTTCTTGGGAGCTGATTGTGAGCCAGGACCTATCCTGAGCATGTTGCTCACCTTTCAATTGATCCTTACAACCACACTCCCTCCTTATTTTATAGATGAATAGAAGAGAAGCGCAGAGCGGTCTAGCACCTTGCTCAGGGTTGCACAGCTAGCGAGAAATACAGTTTCCCTCCAAAACACCTAATGATATAGGACATTGATTATCCACTGTTGGCTCCTTGTGGGCTCCTCCGTGAGTGCTCCTAGCACCCAGGGCCCCCTTTCTCCACACTGGTCGGATTTCATTTCTCCATCCCTAAACTAGTGATCCTGCCTGAGTCCTTCCACCAACAGAATTCAGTCCTTCTGTTTATTGATTCACCAATCTGCGTATTGATCAGTTCTACTAATAGAACTGCCTCTGAAGCCTACAAATAACACTGCAGAATTTGAAAAAAATAAAATGCAGGATTTGAAGAAAATAAAAGTAGTCATCATTTTGGCAGATGGAATGGCTTTCTGGAGTCTGGTTCTGAAGCCTGCATGCTACGGTGGTGCTGTTCAAAAGACAGTAGATGCAAGCACTTGTTCTATCCTGGACAGTAGATTATTATACTTGCCTGATAAAGCCTGTAGTATTGTAGTGAGTCAATTCCAAGATATCTTTGTAGAGTGTGGTTATCTGTCTACATTTCTGTCATTAAAACAAACTGCCCCAGCAGTGAAAAATTTTGTAGTATATCTGAATTACAAGGCCCACAGTCTTGGAGGTAAATGCCAGATTTATCTTAGAAGTAGTAGTTAGAAAATAATATAGGACCATTTTCCTGAAAAAAAAATTTTTTTTTTTTGAGTTGAAGTCTCACTCTGTCACCCAGGCTGGACTGCAGTGGCAGGATTACGGCTCACCACAGCCTCCACCTCCTGGGTTCAGGTGATCCTTCTTCCTCAGCCTCCTGAGTAGCTGGTACTACAGGTGTGTGCTACCATGCCTGGTTACTTTTTTAATTTTTTTGTAGAGACGAGGTCTTGCTATGTTGCCCAGGCTGGTTTTGAAATCCTGGGCTCAAGCAATCTTCTTGACACAGCCTCCCAAAATGCTGGATTTACAGGTGTGAGCCACCATGCCCAGCCCGGATTATTTTTTGAAAGCTGAGAAATTCCTAGTTACAGTAAAATCATAAAAGTTCCACCTACATCCAGCTCATAAGTCTTTATTTCCAGGAAGCATCTATTTTCTCCCTAACTTCACAAACCCAATGTACATCCCAACACAGTTAAAAATGTCACTAATTTGGAACTGCGAAGTCAAACTGAATTAGAGGAAAGACTTAATTATAGAACCAATTATATACAAGTTTCATTTCATGTAATCATTATCATAATTTGAATTAGGTTAAAATGTTGATTAAGAGAGGTTCCTAGAGGATTTGCATTGTATGGATGAATAAGATTCACTTGTAATTCATTCCTGGAGTACTTAAAAGTTACTTAATTCTTTCAAGGAAGTACTTCTCATCATTTCTCCTCACCACTTATACTAATACGCACACATGAACAGAAACACACACACACACACACACACACACACCTTGTTTATATTAATGATTTACCGACAATTTCATGATGACAAAATCTGAATGAAATATAGTTTCAAAATCAGTGTCTCAGTCTGATTTACTATAATCAGACTAAATGACAGTACTGCATGTTGACAAGCTCCAGACCCCATCCATTTTTTTCTCCTCTAAAAATATTGGCCCAATCTATGCCCTCATGAGATTATTGTAGAAAGGGTCTTTGATTTCAAGGTGTTTCTCACTATATTGGCTCCATTAACATACTAACGGTAGCAGCTGGATTTCAGTCTAAGAGGATTAAGTAGATTGGATTATTGTTAAGAAAAAGATTTACTCTCCCGTCCCAACTGTCACAGAAGGAGTATACTTCGCTGCCCCTTTGATGTTAGAGTTGGCCATGTTGTTTGTTTTGGTCTCCTGGTGGCTGTATGACTTGACTTGAGGCTCTATCACATGACTTGCTTTGGCCAATGGGCTGCTAGTAGAAACTGGAAATATGCTTGTGCAGCTGGGCTCACCCTCTTGCTACTTCTGCCTTTACCAGGGAGAGAGCTTCTCTCAGGTAGTTACCCACCTTTAGCTTGGGCTCCTGCCCCACTCACAGAGAGAAACCAGTCCCAGCTGGACCCACGGCCTGAGGCAGAGACCCAGAGGAGTCCAACCGACGGCTGACCTGCAGCTCCATGCACGCTGGAATAAATGGCTCTGGCCATCTGCCACTGATTTGGGATGGTTTGTCACACAATATAAAAATAAAATACACAACTATGATGTGATTCCAGCTGAGCAATACAGAAGAAATGCTAATGCAAGTGCTTCTGCATCTTAAAACTTTTTTTTTGAGTCAGAGTCTTACTCTGTCGCCCAGGTTGGAGTGCAGTGGCACCTCATGGTCACCACAGCCTCGATCTGCTGGGCTCAGGCGATCCTTCCACTTCAGCCTTCCAAGTAGCTGGAACTACAGGCATGTGCCACCACACCTGGCTAATTTTTTGATTTATTGTAGAGATGAGGCCTCACCATGTTGCTCAGGCTGGTCTCGAACCCCTGAGCTCAGGCAATCCTCTCGCCTCTGCCTCCCAAAATGCTGGGATTACAGGTTTGAGCCATTGTGCCTGGCCTTATAACATTTTTAAGTGAATATCTAGGTGTGGGTTCTGAATAATTACATTTTCTGAGCTTGAGTCAAGCGTTCAATAATTAGTTCTAAAAATAAGAAATAGCTTACATGAGGTCTATTTATACAATTTCCCCCCCCCCCTCCTTTTTTAAGAGATGAGGTCTTGCTATGTTGCCCAGGCTGGTCTTGAACTCCTGGCCTCAAGTACTCCTCCTGCCTCGGCCTCTGAAACTGCTGAGATTAATAGCCCATGGGTCTATTTTTAAAAACAAACATCGAAAGTCATTCTTGCCTGGCAGACTGAATAGCTACTCTGGATGCATGATTTTACATTTCCTGGATAAATATTTTGGGCTGTATACCCCAATACCATGGTGACAGGATGCAGATCACAGATGGATGGAAAGTGCATCCTCCCAAGAAAAGAAGTTCTCCATTCACGATGTGTTGAGTGTTGGCCCCTTAAAAAGAATTAATACTGTTTTTTTAAAACTAAAACCTACCTAAGGAATCTAAAATATCCTTTATGTCTGTAATTAGACAATCCAGTTTATAATTCTCTCGCTGAACAGGAGCGTCTGTTTCTCCATAGCCTCTCAAATCCAGTGCCACAACTCGATAGTCACTCTTAAATTCTCTCAGCTGGTGTCGCCAAGAATACCTGCAGGAAATAAGAAACATTCAAAACACCATATTGGCTAATACAAAGAAGAACGTTACAGATTTTCTAAGTGGAAAACTATTTTTAAAAGTCCTTATTTTGAGAAAGGGCATACAGCTGCCAGTCAGCAGAGGGGAGTCCTACTTGAGCAGGAAACACAGATGTTCTAATAGAATTATGTTATCTTTTTTATCAGCTCCAGTGGGGTGTCACAGAAACTACAAGATACTCAAATCAATGTACTTATCTATGCCTTACTAAGCCAATTTTCTAACCTTTCTTAAATGATATTTATAGCCACCAGGGAATCTGTACAAGAAACAGCCAGTTACTTTACAGCCTGAATTTCTAGACAATAAATAAATTATAAAAGTTTGTTTTTGTTTTTTTGAGTCAGGATATTACTCTGTCACCCAGGCAGGAGTGCAGTGGCATGATCTCAGCTCATCACAGCCTTGACCTCCTGGGTTCAGGTGATCTTTCCGTCTCAGCTTCCAGGGTAGCTGGGACTACAGGTGTGTGCCACCATGCCTGGCTAATTTTTTGCCAAGGTCTCACTATTTCCTACGCAGGTCTTGAACTCCTGGGCTCAAGCAATCCTCTTGCCTCAGCCTTCCAAAGTGCTGGGATTACAGCTGTGAGCCACCACACCAGTTTAAAGATTTTTTTTTTTCATGTGAGAGGGAAGATGAGCTTGAGAGTTTTCCCAGAACACAAGAATGCTGGTCTGGCCCAGGACTTTTGTGGAGTAACGTAAGTCCAGGGCTCTTGTTCTGCAGAACTACTTGATTTTCTGATGGAATACATTTATTAGATGAAATTTTATTTCCCTCAAAAGTAGATTTCACTCATCTTACTTCACCATTAAATAGGGTTCAGTTTTCTTTAGTAACAATAAGAGCTACTGACGAAAAAGTCTGCAGGTTTAAAAAAAAAGATAATCACTGAAATAATCCAATATAACAACCATTTAAGATAAACTTCTACTTGTTAAAGCAGAATCTTCTGTGGAAGATCTTGAACCATAAGTACAAGCAAGAATGATGTTAACAACATTTAGCAACCAAAATGGCACCATCGCTGACCAATGAGGATGGCCACAGTGCTGCAGCCCAGTTCTGGAGGCCTCTGCTAGGCCAGACACGCCTCCTGTGCTTGATCATGGAACTGCAGAATTAACTGAAATACAGAGATCTGTGAAATTTTCTTCTTCAAATAAGCACAATCATTTTCGATAACAGGAAAAAAAAAGGACAAGGATTTTAAAAAGTGACTCACCACGTTATGGAACTCAAGATAACGCATCTTTAAAAAGTATCTGAGGCCAAGTGTGGTGGCTCAAGCCTGTAATCCCAGCACTTTGGGAGGCTGAGGTGAGAGGACTGCCTGAGCCTGAGGGTTCGAGACCAGCCTGGACAACTTGGCAAGACCTTATCTCTACAATAAATCAAAAATTAGCTGGGTGCGGTAGCACACGCCTGTAGTTTGACTACTTGGAAGGCTGAGGCGGAAGGATTGCCTGAGCCCAACAGGTCGAGGCTGCAGTGGCCGGGAGCGTGCCACCACACTCCAGTCTGGATGACAGAGTGAGATTCCAATTCAAAAAAAAAAAAGCATCCACACACACATTTGTTCTTGGAAACACAGTGTAAAATTATCTGACACAAGCCAAATGAGAGATCATTGTTGGAAAATTCTTTTGGAGTACAACAGGCAAGCAAACACAGTGATGTAAGATTAGAAATCAGTAGTGAGAGGTGATTGCCATGCGGAGTGACATAAAGCAGTAAGATCAACGTAACAAGTCAGGAAGAGCATCAGGTACATGTTTAGAATTATGAGTGGATACAGAATCTCTGATCTATTGCTAGAATATCTATGGCTTATGAAAATCTGCAAAAGCACTGCCATTAAGATGGATCTGAAAATGTTAATAAACAGTGTCTGTTTTTGGCTAGGCCATACCAGTCTTGTCTCTGGATTGCAACAAACTGTTTGTTTCCTTAAAGACACTCACCTGTCAATGCATATGATTTATTATTTTCTCATTAGCCTTACTTAAAATTTTGAATTGATTTTTTTTATGTCTTGTAACTGAAAACCAAGTCTTCCCTTTTAAAAATCCCTCATACCTAGTCAACAAGGTTCTGTGGATTTAACCTCTTCAATATTTATTGAAATATTCCTCCTGTCTGTCTTGTTATCATTACCTTAACTCAGGCCATTAACGCAGCAGCCCATTAATCGGTCTGCGTCCATTCCATTACCCTCAGCTCTGTCTTCCACAAAACCAGAATCACTCATGTCATTTCCCTGCTGAAAATCTTGGCTCCCTATCATTAACAATGTGAAACCCAGGTTTATTATCCTGGCAGACAGAATCTGCAAGAATCAATTGTTGCCCAGTCTTCCGACCTGATTACTTTACAGTCTCTGTTATATGCTTTATAACAGGCAGAGCTAACATCTGTATCGCTCTTACTACACGCCAGGCGTAATTCTAAGTGCTTCTTGTATGGTAATGCTGAGCTCTAAACAATAGTATAAAGTAGGCATTATTATTATCCCCACTTTATAGATGAAGAAACAGAGGCACAGCAAGGTTAACTGAAGTGCCCAAGGTCATGAATGGCAAACAGCACAGCCAGGATTTCAACCCAAGTAGCCTGGCTTCTGCAGCCATGTCACGGTGCCTCTACAGCACTAGGCTGCTGTGGTGAACAAACATGAGTATTCTCTTTTTAAGATTTCTTGTAGTGACAGAGTCTCACTATGTTGCCCAGGCCGGTCTGGAACTCCTGGCTTAAGCAATCCTCCTGCCTCGGCCTCCCAAAAGTGCTGGGACTCCAGGCCTGACTGGGTATTGTTTTTTGCTTTTATGAGTTTGTTTGTATGTTTTTCTTTCTCGGAAATACCATCACTCCCTGCCATCCTCCTATTATCCCGTAATCCCTGACCCTCACCATTCATTTAACCCTTCCTCAACTGGGCATCTCTTCTTCTAGACTTCCCAGGCTTCCTCCGGTGCACGCCGGGTCCAGTGGGCTCTTCTGTGCTTCTGTACTTGTGCGTACACTCTTGAGTGCACTGGGCCCGTAGCACATAATACCCTGTTGATATCTAGCTCTTCCACTAGGATGTTAGTTTCCTGAGTTGCCTGCTGGGATGTCTGGCCCACGTAGGTGCTTCTAAAGATTTGTTGAATAAGCAAAACAACAAACTAATGGAAACACTGAATGACAGTGCTGTAAGTACCAGTTATGCAATAAAACCTCTGTCCCAGATCAGGCTTTGAGACAATGACAGCTGAAGGTCCCAAACTCCTACTAGGGAATTTCTATTCAGTTTCTACTAGGCTGTGCATTTTTTGTTTGTTTGTTTGTTTTCTGAGTTGGAGTCTCACTCTGTTGCCCAGGCTGGAGTGCAGTGGCATGTCACGGCCACCGCAGCCCTGATCTGCTGGGCTCAGGTGATCCTTCCGCCTCAGCCTTCCAAGTAGCTGGAACCACAGGCATGTGCCACCATGACCGGCTTATTTTTTGATTTATTAGAGACGAGGTCTCACCAAGTTGCCCAGACTGGTCTCGAACCCCTGGGCTCCGACAGTCCTCTCACCTCAGCCTCCCAAAGTGCTGGGATTACAGGCTGAGTCACCAAGCCTGACCCGTGCATTGTTTCACTATCCTAAGTATCTATATGTCTTCATTTAGAATTCATTTAATTAGATATTTCAAAGTAGATATTGACTCACAACAATGTATACAATCCCACATTTTACATTTAAAATTGTTTTAGAGATCACGTAACAATGATACCTGCATGAATAATTTAATAATATTATGAATAATGTATCTTTTTTTAAAATTGAGACAGAGACTCACTATCTGGTCCAGGTTGGTCTGGAATACTGGACTCAAGTGATCCTCCCACTTTGGCCTCTCAAAGTGCTAGGAATACAGGCATGAGCCACATGCCTGGCCTTATATTATGAATAATTTAAATTGCCTTAAAAATAAATTCAACTACTGCTGTGAACAATATCCAAAACAACTCTAAGAAACAGGACAACTTATTTTAATAAATTACAAAAGAACAATATCATCTTAAATGTCAACTTCCTGGAGTTCATAAACAAAACACATTTGGTTTACACCTTAGCCCTAAACTGAAAAGGAAATCACCTCAGTGACAGGCTGATGGGGTCATTTATATGGCTAACACAAAAATCAATCCCCTCGATACAAGAATGAAACACATTACAAAAGCAGTAAAATATGATAAATAAGTAAAACTATTTTCATTCAGGTTGTCTTTTTCTAGGAGCTTTAGGTGATAGAAGAGGATACCTGGAAAAAACAAAACAAAAAAAACAACCTCTTCCCAAAGTATTACTCTGAACCTGAGGAGGGCTCCCGGCCCTGCCAGGTCAGCCACTTTCACATTGTAGATAGAATCTCTTTTCCTGTCACACAGAGAAAGGCCCCAGCTGTTGGCCTCTGGGCTCAGCTGTGTGCGTGAGGGGCCCTCTCTCGCCTCGGCACTTGAGAGATGCCACACGCATCCCACACAGCTGGTGATGAAGATGCCTCAAAGAAATTGCCTGCCTCAGCTCAAAATATTTTTGGGAGATGCAAATTGAAGCGGAGAGAGAGTTGGAGAAAAATCATCCTTCCACAAAACAGTCTTATTTGGGGCTAATTTAGCTATAGGTCTCATAGATGTGTATCTTGTGTGTTTTCCTTTAGATTTTAAAGAGGAAGAGCCAGGATTTTGTTGTTTCTGTGTAACAACTGATCATATACATTAAATATCACTAATTCTCAACAGCTTTTCTCAGGCAATGATGATAAATGCAGAAAATACATTACATGTGCACGGTACTTTAAGTTTTAAAAGCAAAGTCACACAAATGACCACTTTATCCTTTTTTTCCTCTTCATTATATCAAAAGTTTCTAATCAACTTGATCTACAAACAAGTTTATAATTTTATGTGTATTTAGGCAAAACAATTGGTAGAGGAGTAACATTTATATTTGTAATACAAATGGAAATTGACTTGAAACGCAAGGCATAAAGATTTTGGGGCCTTTACAATGAAAAAAATAAAGAAGAGTTTTGTCCTAAAACTTAAATCTTAGAGTTTTGTCATAAATTTTGATATATGGATTGACTTCTGCCACCAGCACCTAAATGGAATTGACTAGACCCCATAATGAGTAACAGTGGCAGTTTGATTGGAAGGAAAGACAGAGTGAGCATCAAAATAGGGGTTTTGGCCGGGCACAGTGGCTCACGGCAGTAATCCCAGCACTTTGGGGGACAGAAGCGAGAGAACTGTCTGAGCCCAGGGGTTTGAGAACAGCCTGGGCAACCTGGTGAGACCCTGTCTCTACAATAAATTTTTTAAAAAATTAGCTGAGCGTGGTAGCATGCACCTCTAGTACCAGTTACTTGGAAGGCCGAGGTGGAAGGATCATCTGAGTCCAGGAAGTCGAGGCTGCAGTGGCTAGTACCAGTTACTTGGAAGGCCGAGGCGGAAGGATCATCTGAGTCCAGGAAGTTGAGGCTGCAGTGGCCATGAGCATGCCACTGCACTCCAGCCTGGGTGACAGAGTGAGACTCTGACTCAAAAAAAAAAAATCCATGCATGTTATCAGATCATTATCATTCCCACAGACTGAGGACAAGCAGCAGAGGTCAGTCCTAAATTTCAAGAACAAGGGTCATCTTACTTTCTGGCACTGCCAACTTGATAAGGGTAGCTGCAAGCCTTAATTAGATGATATATGTAAAGCACTTATACGAGTACTTGGCACATTGTAAATGCTCTGAAAATGTTAACTGTCATCATTATCTTCCCCAGAATCAGGAAACTGTTATCTAACACATGGGTCTCCACACTAAGTAAACGGGAATGAAAAAAATAAACATTCACTTGAGTATTCCCTGGGGCCGTGAGAAAGTCCTTTCACATGTTTTGACTCTCTTTATCTTCACACAGCTCTGCAAAATTATTCTAGATGACTGTGTAGGGTCCTGTAGCAAATAAATAAACCGCTGAGTCAGAATTTCCTGTTCATTTGACTTTTAGACAGATTGCACCAACGTTTTAGAACATTTTATCGTGAATCCATCATGCTGTGACCTCCACAAAGCGAGTCTACATGCGTGTGTTAGAATTGCACTGGGTAGCTTCCTGCCATCTCAGATGCAGAAACAGATTCAAGTACAGCATGAAAATGACTTATACTTATTTATGCATGTAAATCCAGAAGGAGGAAAAAAATTCTTCACAAGGGGAAAAATCTTCTCGGGAAGAGGCACTTACAGACTTCTTGCTCTGGAAAAATTATGAGGTAGCCAGGTCTTTGCTGTCTTCGTTAGTTTCTTCAATGCCTCATATTTCCTGGTACACTAACATCCTCGATGCATGTATTCATAGAGTCCCTTCCAGGCATAACATATTACCTAAAGTGTCTTAGGTAACATTCCTTTCAGAGTTAGGTGCATTTTAAATCAGGACTTTGGGTGACACAAAATCTTTAAATCTCTAAAAGGAGTGAGAAATCCATAATGGTGGAATCTAGGGATTAGGAGACAGCCATAGAGAAATTTGGGGAGCTGGATATTTTTGTCCCAGACTTTTCAAAGGATACCAGATATTCTACCTCAGAGTCAACTGAGAGAACTGAGTTTTCAAAAATCCATCTCTCAGCTGGGCATGGTGGCTCACGCTTATAATCCCAACACTCTGGGAGGCTGAGGTGAGAGGACTGCCTGAGCCCATGGGTTCAAGACCAGCCTGGACAACTTGGTGAGACCTCGTCTCTACAATAAATCAAAAAATTAGCCAGATGTGGTAGCACGTGCCTGTAGTTCTAGCTACTTGGAAGGCCAAGGTGGAAGGATCACCTGAGTCCAGCAGGTCAAGGCTGCAGTGGCTGTGAGTCTCACAGAGTAAGACTCCAAATCAAAAAAAAAAATAATAAAAATAAAAATCCATTTCTCGACCTATTTAGTTCATGAACCATCTTTGCAGCCCTATGCTATAAAAACCCGATTTTCTTTCATCACTATCATATGAACCACCTCTTTCATTTTTAGAATTTTTTGAGAAAAGACCTTGCTCTGTGTCCAGGCTGTAGTGTAGTGGCACAATCATAGCTCACTGCAGCCCTGAACTCCTAGACTCAAGCAATCCTCTCGTTTCAACCTCCCGAGTAGCTGGGAAATACAAGCATGTGCCACCACACCCAGCTAATTTTTTATTTTTGGAGCTGAGGGTCTTTCTATGTTGTCCAGACTGGTCTCGAACTTCTGACCTTAAGCAATTCTCCCGCTTCAGCCTCCCAAAGTGCTGGGATTACAGGCATGAGTCACCACCCCCGACCATATACTACCTCTCTTTTAATGGTGTTCATTAAAACATTTTAAAATCATGTGTTGCTTATTTGGTCCTGTGGAGTCAACAGAGAATAGGCATTTCCCCCTACATAACTGCTATGGTTTCAATGTGTTCCCTAAAATTCATATGTTGACTTTTTTTTTTTGAGTCAGAGTCTCACTATTGTTGCCCAGGCTGGAGTGCAATGGCATGCTCATGGCATGGAGTGCAGTGGCATGCTCATGGCCACCACAGCCTTAACCTGCTGGGCTCAGGTGATCCTTCCACCTCAGCCTTCCAAGTAGCTGGAACTACAGATGCATGCCACCATGCCTGGATAGTTTTTGTGATTTATTGTAGAGTCGAAGTCTCACCAAGTTGCCCAGGTTGGTCCCAAACCCCTGGGCTCAGGCAATCCTCTCACCTAGGCCTCCCAAAGTGCTGGGATTATAGGCTGAGCCACTGCGCCCAGCCCATATGTTGATATTTAATGATCAACGTGACAGTATTAAGAGATGGGGCCTTTAGAGGGTGATGAAGTCGTGAGGGTTCTGCTGGCAAAAATCAGATGAGTAACCTTATAAAATGACTGGAGGGAAACAACCAGGCTCTTTTTGCCCTTCTGTCCTTCCACCATGTGAGGACACAGTGTTCGTGCCCTCCAAGGGACACACCCACAAGGCGCCATCCTGGAAGCACAGAAACAGCCCTCACTAGACACTGAACCTGCCTGTGCCTTGATCTTGAATTTCCCAGCCTCCAAAACTGTGGAAATACATCTTGTTTGTGGAGTCAGAGTCTCACTCTGTTGCTCAGGTTGGAGTGCAGTGGTGAAAGCACAGCTCACAGCAGCCTCAAACTCCTGGGCTCAAGTGAACCACTTCAGTCTCCCAAGTAGTGGGACTACTTGATTTTTTTGTAGAGACAAGGTCTCGCCAAATTGCCCATGCTGGTCTCAAACTCCTGAGCTCAAGCAATCCTTCCATCTTGGTCTCCCAAAGTGCTGGGATTACAAGCATGAGCCACGGTGTCTAGCCAATTTCTGTTCTTTATAAATTACTTAATTGTGGTATTTTGTTATGACAACACAAACTGAGACAGTAACTAACACCTGTATATTTTGGCTTTAGGTTTTCTTTTTAATGTGAAATACCTGAGCCCTTCATTTATCCTGTATTCACATAAACCTGTCGCTTCGTGCAAAGGAAATTGTTCATTGTCAGTTTCCAGGAGTCCCCTTCTTTCTGCCTTATCCTCACTCCAAGCCTCACCAAAAACTTCCTAAAAACAATCACTCCAAGCCTATGGCTTGTTTAAAATCTCCTTTCCCCATCCAAGTGTTGCATTTTGCCTGTAGTTCTCTATAAATACTGTTTTATGACTATTTCAAAAATTTGAAGCACTGAAAGATACTTCTTTTAATTATCAAAAAGGTATAAATTTAGGATGGTACATGTAGATTTCTTTAGACTAGGAGAAAAATCATTGTTGTGATTCAGGAACATTTAGGAATGATAACTCTGGGCCAGTGATCATACAGTATGGTCCGTTAAGTCATTACAAGAAGATAATACTGTGATGAGTGCTATAGTTTGAATGTCTGCCCTCTTCAAAACTCATGTTGAAATTTAATTGCCACTGTAACCTTTTTTTTTTTTTGAGTTGGAGTCTCACTCTGTTGCCCAGACTGGAGTGCAGTGGCCGCTGCCGGCCACCGCTGCCTCGACCTGCTGGGCTCCGGTGATCCTTCCGCCTCAGCCTTCCAAGTAGCTGGAACTACAGGCATGCGTTACCATGCCCGGCTAATTAAAAAAAAAAAAAAATTATTGTAGAGATGAGGTTTTGCCAAGTTGCCCAGGCGGGTCTCAAACCCACAGGCTCAGGCGATCCACTCACCCCAGTCTTCCAAGGCGCGGGATTACAGGCTGAGCCACCAAGCCCAGCAGGTGTGGGACCTTTAAGAATTGACTAGGGGCTGGGAGCGGTAGCTCATGCCTGTCATGCCAGCTCTTTGGGAGGCCAAAGAGGGAGGATTGCTTGAGCCCAGGAGTTCGAGACCAGCCTGGGCCACAGAGTGAGACCTTGTATCTACAAAAATAAAAAAAATAATCAGGGCATGATGGTGCAAGCATGTAGTCCGCTAATTGGGACTCTAAAGCAGAAGGATCACTTGAGCTCAGGAGGTCAAGGCTGTGGTAAGCTGTGAGCATGCCACTGCACTCCAGCCTGGGTGACAGAGTGAGACCCAACTTTAAAAAAAAAAAAAGACACATTAGACCATAAGGGCACTGCCCTCACGAGTGGATATAACATAATTATGAAAAGGCAAGAGTGGTTCCCTTTCATCCCTTTGTCTTTCCTTCCTCTGCCAAGTGATGATGTAGTGAGAAGGGCCAGGTCAATGCGGGCGCCTTGATCTTGGACTTCCCAGACTCCAGAACTGTGAGAACATAAATGTCTCTTCATTACAAATGACCCAGACTGTGGTACTCTGTTACAGCAGCCCAAAGTGAACTACGACAATGAGCCAAGTTTTAACGTAACAATGAAAGTTAGTTGGTAAGTTTACCAGAATTCTGGAAATCCATGAAGCAGCAGCATAAGGGGTTTGCCTCTTTCTCCAGTAGCAACATAATGAAATCTTAACCCCGAATCCTGAAAAGAGATGGCATGGGGTTTTAACAATGCTTTGCATTGATTGTCAAAGAAGTCTGTTTAACATTTCCATTTCATTATCAATACTCACTTGCATAAATTTTAACATCAAGAAATAATATAACTTTTATTAATTTTTTTTTTTTAAAAAAACATGATTTGTCAATAGGATAAGTTGAAAGATTCACTTTGGTCAATTCCCTTCATGGTATCTTCTTGTTCTAGTACAAGGTCAATTTATGTATAATGAGCTGCTGAAGCAAGTTCACAATCTGTAACTTTCATCTTACTGACAGATCACATTTCATCTCACTCAAATTCTGCAGGACATGTAAATAATTCCTACCTGACTTTAAGCTCCTGCCATGTTTACCTCCTAGTCATGTACTTATCCCAGCTTGCCCGTCAAGAGCTGTGCCATCAGTTACATAATTCACACCTCCTTCCCTTATTTTTAGGTCTCTCCTTCCCACATTGTTATTTTGAGTGGTGTATGTACTGTTCCCCTTGCTGTCTGCTCCGCGTGTCATGTCAGTGAGCATTTCTAATAGCAGAACGCCTTGAGTTCTCAAGACTTCATGTGGGAGACCAGAAAACCCAGGGAAGATGATAAGCATGGGGGGTGGGGGTGGGGAGAAGAACTCAGCAAACACTAAACAAACTGAAGAGAGGAAAGCAGAGGAAACAGCAAGAAATGAAAACCAAAACTCTGAAAGAAAGCGAGGAAAGGTTGGCATGGTGGCTCATGCCTGTAATCCTTGCCTTTTGGGAGGCCTAAGTAGGAGGATTGCTCGACCCAGGAGCTCAAGACCAGCCTAGGCAACACAGGGAGACCTTGTCTCTTAAAAACAAACAAACAAAAAAACACCTAAGAAACCAGGAACTAAAAGCTGAGCTTTGATACTACTTTTATATCAGGCAACCCAAGCAGCTAGGTTTTCCGATATGAAATAATCGTTTTACAGATTTAGAAAATGAGGCCTAAAAATGTTAATCCAGGTTATAAAGTGATTGGGAGTAGAGCTGAGGCTATTATCCCCATCTTGTCCTGACTCCCAAGACCATGTCTTTCCACTCCTTGGTTCTGCCTTTCTGGGGCAGCGTTTTAGGTGGCCAGAGTCAGAGGAAAGGTGTTCTGAGGAATTCCAGTGATTCTTATGCTACTTTGACTCCTCAGAGTGGACAGAGATAACAAATCTGACTTTGCCCTCAACTGCAGAATGCCTTCCTAGAAGTTCAATAACTTCCTTTATTGGTGGTGAGACCTGGAGGATGCCAATGCCATGAGCACTTGACTGGATTTCATCAACAAATATGCTATTGCTATGTGCCAGACACAAAGTTGGCTTGTTTTGTTTTGTTTTACAAATATTAACTCATTTAATTCTCATTTCAGCCCCAGGCAAGAAAGAAGTCCTCCTGCCCTTCTGAACTCCAGCTGCTGGGCAATTTAGCTCCTAAAAGGAAATCAGGACGGGGTGACATAAATAACCCCTCATATGAGGCTGATTTTGAAAGGCCTGTGAGTCAGACCATAGGGTATATCACAGAAGCCCTGTCACCACCCGGAGTTTCAGGGAATAGATTATCCTGGGCTGTCAGGAAGCTTGGGACAATATAAACAAGCAGTCTTATGTATGCTTGGCATTCGCTTTTTATTCCATTCCTTTGGTCCCTGACTTCATACCTCTACTTCCCTCCTCCTAAACATTCACCATGGTTTTTTTGTTTCCTGCTCCCTAAGTCCTGATTGTCAAGGACTTATTCTGTTTACTCTTTGTGTCTATCTCTAAAATGTGGGCAAAGATGGCCTTCTGGGACAGTAGGGTGCCTCTGGGAACAATTCTCTCCAGCGGGTCTGAAGGGCAAAAAGGTGACAGCTTCCCCTTGCAGTAGGAAGGAGAGGGGAATTATTCTGGGTTGTGGGGCCGGGGACAGAAAGATAAGAGGACTCTGAGAAACTCCACATTAAGCAGCCAGTCAAGGGGCCGGCAGGATAGATGCTCTTTGTCAGCTTCTCGCTCTCTCTCTCCATCTGTCTCTCTGTGTCTGTCTCTTTCTTCTCTCTGTCGCTCTGTCTCTCTCGTGTCTCTCAGTCACCCTGTCTCTCTTTTCTTTCCCTTGTGTCTCTCTGTCGCTGTCTCTCTCGAGTGTCTCGTCTCTGTCGCTCTGTCTCTCTCGTCTCTGTCTCTCACACACACACACACACACACACACACACACACACACACACACACACACACGAGACCAGAAGGGAACACAAAGAAAGACGACGCACGGAGACCCGACCCAGGGACCCGACCCTCTCGCGCCGCCGCGCCCCTCCCGCGCCCCCCGGTCACCCCGCGAGCCCGCAACACCGGGGGACGCCGAGCCCGACGCCCCCCGCCCGCCCCGCGCCGGGCCCGCGCCCTTC